CCAGATGGTATGAACCGACACAGAACTGATGCAGAGACCTAGCTGAAGTGACAAGTGATTTTGACATGGAGGAAAGAAACTAGTTTTTGGGCGCTGGAAAAGATGTCATGGGGAAAAAAGACAAACTATTCTCTTGATACTGCTGTTACACAAACTGGAGGTCTTTTTTGATTTGCATCTCTCAGAGAAGGTAGACTAGGCTTTGGTATGACCTTAACTAAAAGGAACTTTCTCTTAAGGTTTCTCTTTGAAAGAAACAAAAGAATTATAAAATAGTGTGCATGAGGTAATGGTGGCTTCCATACTGCCACTTGCTACATCTTTAACTCAGATGAAAACCCTTTCTTGCACTTAGAATATCTACCCAGTTAGCTCCACGCCAGGTAGAACATCTTCCCAAAAATACGAAACATAATTATGGCAAGTAATGAAACTGATGGAGTGGAGCTGTGATCTCAAATACACACATATACACAAAAACCCTGGAGACCACAGCTAATATAACTGAAGACTCCATGCAATTGTTTCATCAATCTGCAACACTCTACAAAAGCAATACCTTCAAGTTCAATGTAAATAGAATTTACCCATTTCATAAGTCTGTAAGGACAAGAAGAAATTGGACAGAGGGGGACTGGAGAAAGAAGAGTAGCCCTGAAAAGGCTACATTTCAGAGGACTAATTTCTCTACATTAACTGTCTGGATTTCACTAAGCTGAAAGTATTCCAAGACAAAGAAGACTCTGTTTCTAAAGTGTTTCTTCAAAGGCCTACATTTTGATTTGACACTAATTTGAAGTGTTAAATTCTTCCAAGTAAGCTGTTACCAAATAAAAAAGTGTCATAGCCTAGAGCAGAATGCGACCTTTTGTATTTAAAACCCATTTTATTCCTATGTATCTTTTGGTTTAAATTATCTTCTCAAATGAACTCTGGATCTGGGACTCTGTCTACTTGGTGACGTGATCTTTCTCCTTTGTTGCAAGGGGGTAAGTGAAAGGGGAATCTGTATAAGGTGTTTCTCCTGCAAACCAGAAGGCTTATAGTCTCACTGGAATACATTGTAATTAAAAAAAAAAGGAAAGCAAGGACAGGTTTAGGGAGGAACCACTGCATCACTATGACTAAATACACAGGCATCCATTCTTTTTACATCTGACTTTCAACTGCCAGAAAGGTCTGAGTTTTCACACAATGTCCAGGTTACCAGATAATAACAATCAAAGCAACTGGATGCCCAGGGAAGTTACTATATCATTTGCTCCAAGCATCACAACAAGCAGACCTACTCCACTGGAAGACAATCTGTTTAAAATGCAAGGAAAGAGGAACAAAGAAACTTTATCTGCTATGAATACCAGAAGCTTATTCCATCAAGAACAGTCTCTTTAGCAGCCATAACTATTTCTGCTGTAAATAACATGGATATGTGTTAAATCAAAGCCAAAAATCCTTTCAGAATTCAACAGTATTTAGGTCATCTGCACTCTATTGACAGGCACTGAACTCTGAAACCATAATGATGTAGCTCAGCAACAGTGCATGCCTTCCCTCTAATGAGGCCCTTTTTCCATGAATAATGAGTATGGACATCAGCTCTGTTGCCAGGTACATAATATAAACACAATTTAACACATGGCTTTTGGTAAAGCAGTGTGTCTGCTTGCACAGGCTGAGGTTTTGCATAATGTGATCCAACTTTTTAGCCCAGGGTGGGGGCAGACTGCTCAAGGAAATAATTTGTTCATATGTTATCAAAATACAATAAATCAGGTTTGGTCTTAGTCAAAAAAAGACAGTGGAGTGGGACCAACAGAAACTGCAGATAGGAAAGTATAAATGAGTTCATTGTTTTATATTCCAATAAATCTTACAACACATGAAGCTGATGAGTTCTAAAACGAGCTGAGACTCCCTGAGATGGGCCTTCCGAGACTCATGAACTGTAAGGGTTATACTGGTTAAGCCTGTGTTTGCTGAGTCCTTGTGCGTACCTAGTCTATACACACACCTTTGTTTATATATGGCAAAGCATGAGTTGAAACTGCATGGGTTCAAACAGGCAAAGTAAGACAAGTTTTATTTTGAAAAGCCTCATTTGTTACATTTATGCCCTCAGTTTTGACTCTGTCAGATGCTTTCGAGAAAACAAAACACACCTTCAAGTTTTATCAACTTCCATGACACAAAGTGCCACCAGGTATTGTTTAAAACTAGGGATCGGTGCTTTAGTATGCAAAAGTAGAGCTGGCACAGGAGTTTAGTCTGAGATTTGGGAGGGCATGGCTTAATTCCCTGTTCTGTCACAGTTCTGCTATCTCCCAGGGCTACTATCTCACAACTACATTAAAGACTAGAAGGTGCCAACATCCTGCGGTGCCTGGGACACCAAAATGGGCATTTCTGTTTACTTGCTGCTTAAGATGTGAAAGTAAAGTCCATGGGGATGTGTTGTGTGTCACACACAACACATGTGTTGTGTCATGACCTGTGTCACAGGAATTACTGAAATGCAAGGAGCTACAAGAAAGACTCTGATGTTACCACTTTAACTGCAGATTTCTTCAACCAGACTAAGCACAACCAAGATCTCTCCCAGGGTCTTTACTGCTACTGGATGGCAGTACTCAAGGGCTGGGGTGACATTTTGATCTCTGCTTAGAATGATTTGACTCCAGCAAGAGTTGAAAACATTCCAGGCTGGACTGGTAGCAGTGGCTATCACTAATGTTGCCTGTAATCAACTACTTATTTATCTTTCGTTAAATAACCTCAGCTCTGCCACAGTCTACTGCAAGTGACTGAAATTTGGCAGGATGATCGTGTTAGTATCAAGCCAATGGCCTATTGCTAGCCTCATGAATATTTACCTTAATTTCCTAAGTTACAAGATGTTAGAAGAAAGCAGTTAGCACATATTCAGTGGAAGCTTCTTCAATTTTTTCGATTATACCCTCCAAAGATTCTTTGCTCATCAAGTACACACATCTCTACTCCAATAAACTTACACATCATCCTTTTGCCACTGTTCCATGTGACGATATGGGGCCAAGTACTAGGGCTGACAGTGACAAGCCTCTGTCTGCATGCACTTCTACTGTTCTGCTTTTTGGCATCCAGGCAATGCAGCAGAGAACAGCAAATGAAGAGGAGGCAGAAGCCACAGAGAAAAGGTTAGATGGAAAAGATGTCTGGTAAGACAGGAGTTGGAAAATGTGGCTTGATGTCCACATGGAGACCGGTGACAAGTGGAGTCCCTCAGGGGTCCATACTGGGACCGGTGCTATTTAACATCTTCATCAATGACACAGACAGTGGGATCAAGTGCACCCTCAGCAAGTATTTTTACATATTTTTGGCCCCATCCCTAGAAACATTCAAGGTCAGGTTGGATGGGGCTCTGAGCAACCTGATCTAGTTAAAACTGTCCCTGCTCATGGCAGGGGGGTTGTGCTAGATGGCCTCTAAAGGTCCCTTCCAACCCAAAGCATTCTATGATTCTATGATAAAATGGGTGAGGAGATGTATCATGACCACCACTGCCCTGAAGAGAAGACTGGGATAGGTAGTTAGGAGAGGCAGAAGAATGGCGTTGGGAACGAACAGTACTGACTGAACAAGGAGCCTCTAGTAGGAACTGGGAGCAACAGAAAGCTGAAACTGACCATGCAAAAGAGAAGTAGAAGACAATGCAGTAGACAAATGGGACAGAGGATCAACTAAGGGCAGGCTGGAAAAGGTGCTAATTCCCTCAAAGAATCGAAGAGAAAGAGTGGCCAAAGCACTGTGGATATAGGCTCCAGAGCCCATACTGGTAGTCACTTATACAACAGTACCTCAAATGATGTCCCTCTACCTTTTCAAAAACTTCAGAAGTTACAAGCCTTAAAATCTCTGTTCAAAGAACACCAGAAAGGCTGTAAGAGCTAGTAATTAAGAACATTTTAAAGGTTGCAAGATCAACCTAGAAAAAGAGTTAAGAGTTTCACTTAATTCAGCTATTTGATTCATGTGTGTTATGATTTCATTTTTAGTTGCATGATTACCTAATATTCCTTTCTTAAACTCCCTTGCCATACTCCAGTGCATAGAATGAGATTCTTCTGAGGTTGACTGAGGACTGTGTAGTAACACAAGAGGAAACTCATAGCTGTAGGATTCCTGATTCACTTGTTGCAGAACTTGGAATGTGGATAGCGAGTAAGCCAGGGACTGCAGGGAGAAGATGGAGAGTGGCACTGTGAAGGTTGATGAATGCTGCTCAAGAGAACTGGACTGCATTCCTGTTTCTGTCACAAAGTTTCTACACAACACGAGGAAAACCCATTTAACTTAAACTAAGCAAAGTATGCCAGTTGGCACTTCTTACTCTGTCCTTTCTCTGTTTGAGACCCTGATGTCTGAATTCAAGTTCAAAGGGCTAGAGCTGAAGTCAGCAGCAGCAGTGATTTGAACACAAAAAGTGATGTGATGCTGCATAAACCAGTGCTTACTGAAAAATACTGAAAATTAACATGAAACGTTCACCTAGTCTTCTGAGCTTTACAAGTTTTCCCCATAAGACATGAAGTGGGCTACTCACTAGACTGCTGTGAAGTTAAGTCAATTAATGTTTGTAAAGCACTTGTATGCTACTAAGTCAACATTCATAGAAAGTCCACAAGGGAACTGATAATCCTTTCTTCAGACAAGGTTTGAATAGCACACAATAAAAAGTCTGCAGAACCTAAATAGTCGTTCTTTAAGCATCAACAGAAAGCAAAAAGCACTGAAGAGCTGCTAGTAAGTGAGTTCCATTACCCTGTACAATGAATGAAGCACGGATTGTCAGGAAAAAAAAGCACAATTTTTAATCTTTGGATTAAGGACTGTGTAAGGGGATCTATGAAGCTCATGCCAATCACCTTAATTACAGTGTTTCCTAAATTTTAAGAGTCTGACTTAGAAACATTGCTTCTGTGTGTACCATATAGAGAAAATATAAATATATATGAGCTTACCATCATACTTTGCTAAGACTGCCTGGACATCTGCATATGCTTGCAGTTCCAACAAAGCCTCTAGCAGGTTTTCATGGATGTTGAACATGCTGAGCAGAGGAAACTCCTTCATCAACTAAAATCAATAACATACGAAAGGGTTAGATTATTAACACAGAAAAGGGTTTCTTGTTCAGAATACATTGAAATAACCACCATCAAGTTAAAACCCCTCAGTTTCCCTTGTTCTTGGCTCTTTCCCAGTTCCCTATTATCTCAGAAATTTCTGAGCTCTTAATGGACACTGGGTCAGGCTTCTTGACAAGACATGCTTTACATAGGATGTAATTAGTCAAATCTAAGAACTCAGCTGCCTGAATAAGTAACTCTCCTTCAATTAACAGGCTTCTTCAAAGTGAAAAAGAGTTATCTTATTGTACTGGAAAAGAATCTTCAACAATGTAGCTCCTGTATATCAGTAGTAAGTAGTCCAGCACCTCTGTGATATATTAGTAGAAAAAACAGAAAATACATTGAAAAAAAAATCAGAATAAAATCCAATGAGAGAAGCTTACATATGCAACTATTATCAATTACGTGATATTAGGATTTATAATCGTGAATACTTTAGAACACAATTGCAATTGTGGCCAATATAAAAAAAAAAAAAAAGAAAAAAGAAAGAAAGAAAAGGCAGCAACAATAGGAAAGGTAAAGCTGATACAAATCTAACACTATAACTAAAGAATCCATCTTGTATGACAAAGTGAATGAAATGTGTAGTTAAAATAACCTAATTCTTTTTACATGTAAGTGCCTTTACTTTATGAGCTGACCCTTTGAGAGATACCAGGCATTTGTTCTTAGACATCCTCAGTTTCAGTGTCTGCATAGATTCAAATGACTGAAGCTGATATTCTATTGCATCTACTTTTTGAAGCCACACTTATTAGAAGCACCCATGTTTTTTACTGCAGAATTGATTAAATATTTTTTATTGTCAGAGTGATTCTCTAAAGAACTGAAGTGTTAAAAGATCCTTGCTTCCTTGTATCCTCTTTATGGCTGTTGTACCTTAACTGCCTACATGACGTACATTCGGCACAAAAAAGGTCCTACACAGTGTAGAACTTAGATAGCTGATATTACTGGTGTTCTTCAGGAACTCGCAGGGGAACACTATCATTTACAATCTCTCTGAGATGGTTTATGAGAACAGAAATACTATAACGAGCCAAGTAAAGAAAATGACTCAAGGTCAGCCTTGCTCCATTTGAAAATAGTAAGCTGGACCTGAAAACTCTGTCACTTAATAAACCTACCTTTGAAGACACGAATAGAGAAACTGATGAGAACCAGGAAATCTTAAACTCACAGACAGGTAACATAAACAAAAATAAGCCAGGATTGAAACAAGAGGGGTGGAGATTGACCAAGAACTTTAGAAAATGAGAAACAGGTAATGCACCAGAGCTTCTTCACTCTGTTAAGGAAGAGACCTTAACAGGTAAAGAGAGATACAACACACAGAGAATTTCTTCCTTGTGTTAATGGTCTGGCTAATGTAAGAACTATTCTGACCTTAACGGACAAGTCTGTCTAAATTTGGCTATCTGGATAGTACTGACTTTGCTGCAGTTTGAGGGTTATTAAAATACCAAAGGCAAGGACAGCACTGTTTTCTTTAACTGATTACATAAATTTCTGGTGAGAATCGTGATCACTGAGACAACAGCTGAAAGAGCTCACTGAGTTTTTGATGCTAGTGGCATGGGGACTGCCATAAAGCTCCTTGTTTCAATGGTAGAAGCTGAACCTGTGAAAAAGAACACAAACAAAACTGCATAGTTTGCAGGCTTTTCTCCTTCTCCAGTTTTCCAAAAAACAGACCACAAGCCTTGGTGTTCATCTAGGTAAGTGGAAGGATTTGACAATAAAATAAGAAGTTTTAGTCACAGCTCATGAAGAAAAATAACTGCAGGTGAAAATTCACATAGTTGGATTCATCAGTTAAGGATCCAGCATAGAGACTACTTCTCTTCCTTCTTGTCCTTACTCACTATTGCATTTTTAATAGAGGAAGCTACTATTTGGCAGGAAAAAGCATGACAGAATCTGGCCCTACGTAAATAGTCATTTAAAGTTCAGAATGAACATATTGCAAAGAAACCCCTCCAAGGGATTAAGAAAGATTATCCCTGCTCATTGAGAATGAATAATGGCTGGCAGAGTAACATTCCCTCCATCAGTGAAGAAAAGGGAAGAGCTGCAGCTAGTTATAGATGTACTGTGGCCAGTAAACGCTTTTACTCTGGTTCTCCGTTTCTCACTGACATCACTCTCCGATTATTTTTTTCTATTTTTAATTAGGTTCTGTCACAGAATGATAAACTCTGCCTAAGACAGCAGCAGAATAAAGGTCACTGTCTGGACTGCCAGGCCTCCAAAATGACAAGTGCTAATAAAGGTTTCATCTGGGAAAGGTTGAACATTAAGAAGTCCAACCCAGTTACAATGAACTCAGTTGGTAGTTGTAGCTACAAAAATAAAACACCTCTAATTAGCCACTCAGCTATTCGAACACTGACTGTGCACAAACGACAGTACATTTGCTATTAAAAAAGGAAAAGAAAAAGAAGAGAGGACATGAACTCATTTCTCTGTCACCTCAGCATGTATATAGTTTTTACTGCAAATAATTTTCAGTCACAGTAAAAATTTGGGTTTTGAGGAACTTCCCAGAAAATAAAGCCACTTAGATGACAGGTCATCTTTTAGACCTCATAGTGAAAGCAAACACTAGGGAAGAAAAAAAAAAAATGCCACAAAGGTTGCAACATAGGCCTGCTGGATGGTCAGGGCAGGCCAAATACTGCGTCATGCTGAGCAGCAACAGCGAGCGGACCGGGAGCCTGCTCCCCTCCCCAGCAGATGGAGAGGGAGGCTGGCTCATACTCCGCACAGAGGTTTAAAGATGGGCACGTTATCCCTCAACACGAGATGAAGAATGCACCCTCGAGTTCCCCAGACCCGTACAGCATCGAGCTCTAATCTGGACTCTAGTTTAAGAGGCACAGACCTCCTTTTGCACCCAAAGATTTATCTTCTGTGAAGTTACAGACTAACATTTGCCAGATTCTTTGGCTTATCAATTTTAATTCTCTTTACGTCTTTACTGTGACTTGACAAATGCTTTCATTTGAGTTGCAAGCACTGCACTTAAATAAAAGACAAAGGCTCCGTTATCTTTCTCCACACCTTAAGAGCGCAAAAGACAGTCATCAAATTCAGCGCTCAAGATTTCTCACCAAATCCGCTACAGCTCTTTACACAAACACTAGTTAGGACTAAAAGTTTCATTGTAGAATTCCTCTTAATTGGTTACTCAGCTGGTATGAAAAAGCCGTGCTCCACTGAGTGAAGCTTGTTTTCATAGCATATGAAAACAGACACCATGTGGCTATGAATGTATTCTCCTACAATATAAGGATGCTAAACAGCTATTGAACATATTATACCAAATCTATGTTCACAAGGATTTTACTTTGAACTTGTATTGGTCAAAATACGTTCTAGTGATGAAATTCAGACCCGGGGCTGGGTTAGCCTCTATTCTGTTCTAATTGCTCTGCACATTTGAGGCGAAATAGACACGCAGGTGTAGAAAGTGGAATTGCTTTTTATTGAAAGGTTCATTAGGCATACTGCAAATATCCACAAGTGGTAGCTTTTGCACATAATGAATAATTTTTAATTTTTTAGATAAATAATATTTTGGAAGTATAAGTTGGCAGAAAAATTCTGGAAATAAGTCTAACACAATCAGATATCTTATCACTAGTCCTGGGAGGGCCATATTTCCAGACTCACCCCAATCCATATTGCAGGGTGTCGGTTCACTGATTTTGTGATGGATATGAAAACGTGATGATCACAAAACATGCTTTATGACATAAGGAAATCCACATCTGATTTATTGGATGAGGAACAAGTTTTATCTCCCAGAACAGTTTAATGAAGAGGACTCCCTTCCCTGAGAATATTTCAGTCATCAGCATTTTCTCATTTAGATCTAATTTTTGAAACATTTTCAAGGAACATAGCTTTAACTTTTGCATCCATTATTCTCCCTGTGATGACATTAACGTCATGCATCAATTAGCTATGATACATTATTTGTGTGGAAAACAGCTTTAAGCTACAGTTTATGCCTACAACTAGACCATGGGACTCAAGGGAATACAGAGGTGGATAAATGGATGATCTTATATATAACCCGGTGCTGACACGTTTATTCTCCATTTGCATTATGGCTGTATGCATGGTCACATATTTTACAGGCAGTGCATGCAACCATTCATTGCTGCTTATACTCATATATTCTCAACAAACAAAAACATTTTTAGATCAATGTATTCAACTGAATGCATTCATAAATACGAAAGCTGAATTCAGCTTAAAATGAAGAAACAACAGCAACAAGCAAACGAGAAATTCAATGCAAACTGTGAAACTGTTACAACCTGAATTCCTAGTGTATCTGTTCCTGCAGTGGGTATCTGAAATGGTAAAATCTGTCTCCTAAAAGAGGAATGACTGAGGCTGCCATCTTCCAGGTACAACTGCCCACCACCATTGAAAAATCAAGCACACAGTATGGATAACTGTTATTTTCAAAAGCGCTTTGCATAAGCTGCTTTCTTGTATATGACTGGTAATCTGTAAGAACTGTTAACTGAACAAGGTAGAAAAGGCAAAACTCCAAGCCATTTCTGAGTAGAAAACCAGAAACCTCCATTTCTGTGGGCTTCATTGTCTACAGCTGAGCTTTCAGATGTCTAAGCTCTGACTGAAGCTTACCGTGGGCTCGAGGCATTTGCAACACGTCACTCCACATTGACTCTCTGATGTCTAGTAAGATACACTAATGCTTAAGTTTTTCTCCTGGCCAGCTCACCTCACAGGGACGGAAGGGAAGAAACACTGTCAGCAGACTAAGGCTAGCACACAAAAAGGCTCTGTTAACAGAGTCAGATGCTTAAAAATTAGGCTAACTCCTGGTCCTAAAAGTGTAACTCATTCCAGCATGCTCTCATTGTGAGTGGGATTCATGTGACATAAACAGACACTCTCACA